TGATGATAGCCAAGGCAAGAGGATTGGAGTCTCAGTCTGTCGCCCAGACTGGAGTGCAGTGGCCACTCCCAGCCACCGCAGGCTCAACCTGCTGGGCTCCGGCGATCCTTCTGCCTCAGCCTTCCAAATAGCTGGAACTACAGGCGTGCACTACCATGCCCGGCTAATTTTTTTATTTGTTGTAGAGATGAGGTCTCACAAAGTTGCCCAGGTGGGTCTCGAGCCTGCGGGCTCAGGCAATCCACTCACCTCAGCCTCCCAAAGGCACGGGATTACAGGCTGAGCCACCGAGCCCAGCTAAAGTCCTGTAATTCTAAGAGAATAAATTTTTAAAGATAAAGCATTATAATGAACATTAAAGCTAGCAAAGGGTGTGCAATGGGAAGATCACGGGCTTTGGAGTCAGATAGTCTTGAGCAGGGTAAGGCAAGTGAGGTGTCTAGAGTTCAAAACTTAAGGAGGCACTCATTCTCAGGGTAATGTAAGGGCAGAGATTGCATCTGAAGGTGTGTGCTTCCTTGAAATTTGTACCCCAGTTGACTTACTTGCCTCACTCTAGTCCCAGCCCTGGTCTTGAGTTCAGATCCTCACTCTACCTACACTGCCTCCAAGGCCTCAAGTGGGCAACTTAAGTTCTTTTTTGTCTTATTTTCTTCTGCAAAATGGTTACTATCATCTACCTAACTCACAAGATTGTGTACTAATTAAATGAGATATATTAAATATCTAGCAAATTGCCTTGAATACCACAGGTGCACAATAAAATTAATTTCCTTATCCTCCCTACCATACTCTCCAAAAAAAAAAAAAGGTGCAACAGGAGAGGTAGGTAGAAACTAGATAATAATAGACACTTTTTTCAAATCGCTAAGAGTTTGGACTCTATTGAGAACAGAGGTTCTCAAAATATAGTACCCATACCAACAGCACCAGCATCAGAACTTATCAGAAATGCAAATTTAGAGTTTTTGAATCAGAAACTCTGGGAGTAGGAGCCAGAAAACTGTTTTAACAAGACCTCCAGATTATTTCAATGTGCACTAATGTTTGAGAATCACTGCTGTAGAAAAACATGAAAACAACCTGTAGGATTTTAAGAAAAAAAGGAACATGAAAGAATTGAAATAATAGAAACATAACTAGATGTGACTGAATGGATGAGAAAGATTCAAGACAGACAGCAGTCTCATTAGGAGTTACTTTAAATATGAAGTTATTCAAATCTGATCAAAAATAATGGAAATGAACATCAATAAGATAAAGGCTAATTAAGATAAATAATTATTTGGATAGCAGAAATAATGTAATGTTGAAGCTTCTTGAGACAGAGTTTATATCACAATCACCTCTATACCTGCAGAGCTTGGGAACTGGTCTATCACTGAAGATTATCAATAATTGCTTGGTTTTTAGAGTGAATGAATCCAAGATATGTCCTCCTACCTATATTTAAGTGATATAGTTGAGTATGATTTTTTGTTTGTAAGAAAAAAACTTGCTCCTTTGCACAGGAAGACAAACAAAGGAGGTCTCCTTGGCCCTTTATATGCCAAGAAAACATAGCATTAACTTGGAATTTTCTTCTTTGTAAAATTCCTGTCTTTAGTGTCTAATGATAGCAACCTTGCCAAATGTGAGTTTCAGGGAATGGGGGACATGAGAATTATTGAATCCAAGATAACGGCACCTGGTTTTTCTTGCCAGATATGAAACAATATGTGAAGTGCTTAAAAGACCAAACTCAAATAGTGAGTGAAATCACTGCCACCCAAAGATCATGACCTTCTTGGGCATATAAAGGGCCCATGGGGATGGTGCTTGCCTGTGCAGTTCTTTGCCTCTCTGTCCTCACAGCTATAGTTGAGTCTCTGTATAGAGACACTCCAATAGTCCAGGCTAATAACCAAACTCTCAGTTATATCCCACTCATGTCCTTCCTCCTGTGCTTCCTCTGCTTCTTACTCTTTACTGGCTGTTCCAATATCACCACCTGCATCCTCCAACAAACGGCATCTGGAGTTGTGTTTACCATGGCTGTTTTTACCATTTTGTCTAAGACTATCACTGTGGTTCTAGCTCTCAAAGCCACAATACCAGAGATAAATACAGGGCAGTGGATGCTATAAGACTAATTATGTCATTCCCGACTGCTCACTGTAGTCAAAACTACAGTGATGGAAAATATATAGGGGTTGGAAGAGCATATGGATAACTACAAAGGGGAAACACAAGGTAATGTTAGGGTGATGGAACTGTTCTATATGGTACTAGAGTGGTAAATGCATAATTCTATGCATTTGTAAAATCCACAGAACTGTATGCCAAAAAGAATGAACTTTAATATTTATATACAAATTACATTTTTTAAAAACAGGATATTGGAAGAATTCCAGGAAGAAATACAAGTTATGAGAAAGAGTCCAACCATATTACAACTATATTACATAACCCCCTTGAAGATGATGAGGTGGTAGGGAAAGGAACTGAAGTAACTTTGGCAGTGTTTAGATGGGAAAAAATAAGGTTAAAGGCAAAAAGAATCGTATATAAACACTGCGCAGTACTCTAGTTGGTAAATCCCTTGCTGGACACAGATGAACAATTCTGAACCTGCTTTCACGTATGCTGGGGCTATGAACGGATGACAGCTGGTGAAAACTAGGTTTCTTACTATCAGAAAACAGAACCACAAATAAGGAGGGAAGGCTAGAATGAATCTTGTGGGACCGGATTACAGTTAGAGACATCAGTATTAATTTGTTTAGCTGAATATATATAGAAATAATTACAGAAATGTGTATGTACCTGGATTAGTACATGCATGTGTATCCTATCTTTGTCCACTGAGAGACGAACGATACCCAGTTGCAATGAGCTTACCAAGTGCCCAGATCTTGGTTTCTAAATACCATCCTGCAATAAAAGTAACAAAGGACAGGGGACCCCAAAGTTGGGATCTAGCCAAAGAGATCTAGCGGGTTCTTGGCTGTGCATGAAAAAAATTTCAAGGCAAGCTGACAAAGTAGAGCAAAAGTAAGTTTATTGAAAGGAAGAACAGAAATGCTACTCTATGAACTGAGTAACCTCCATATATCGCTGAGTTACAGTTGGAAAACGAAAGCAAAGGTACAGAAATGACAACAGGTTACTCCATAGCCTTAGCCGAGCTATCGAACAGCAGCATATAACGCTGGGGTTTTAATTTTATAGTTAACTCTTGCTTACATGCTAATCAAGAAATGGAATATTCACGAGTTTCCTGAAAAACAGGTGGGGAGTTCTAAGAATTGAGGTTCCAGCCATTTTGCTACATAAATGGACAGGGTTGGAACTGTCATGGTGCTGGAGGGTATGTCATCTAGTACGCTCATGTTTTATAGTGAGCGGCAAGGTTGCAGTAGCAACAAATTAGTTGCCATCTTGGTTCTAGCTGGCTTTAATTGGTTCTTAACCACATCCTGGTTTTTCTCTGTGGGGTCTCAGACAGTAACCTACGGTCTCAGTTTCTTGAGATATTAGCTTTGCTGTTCATCCTATGAAACTACTCTCAGTGCAACTCCTATCTCAAAAGTAAACAGGGCTTTTTGGAGAAATGGTGAATTCTAGGATTGGGACAATGAAAATAAAAAAGCCTGGGGTAAGCTTTAGTGCCAGAAAATAAGGAAGTGTTCAAAACAGAAGAATGGAAACATGTTAAAGGAACACAAGAGTCAAGCTGGAAGAGTTCCTAATGGCCAAAGCTGGAATACTTTGAGCAAAGTCATATGATAATGAATTACAGCCTAAAGGATAAAATAAATTTCCGTGAGCCCACTCTGATATAAATGACTGAATAAACAAATGGGAGAGGTCTCCCACACTGAAACATTCCAAATAATGTCCATAGGTCCCCTCCTCCCTCACTCTCCAGCTCCCTTGAGCATAAGCTGGATTTAGTGAATGGCTTTTAAAGAACAAATGTGGAAAAGGAAAAATGGAAACCTTACGATAGAGAAAGCTGGAAAGTGCTACCTTACCCAAGTGGTGGAGATTAACATCACCAGTGAAAAGCCTCGCCATCCAAGAGGGAGGCCCAGGTGCTCCCAGACACCCATACATCCTAGGCCCCAGGACAGCGGCCCAACCAACAACTGGCATGCAGTCCTGCTCTGGGATCCACCTGGTCGGCACTTCCAGCCTCCCTTTCTTTTTTTTTGTTTTTTTGTTTTTTTTTGAGTTGGAGTCTCACTCTGTCGCCCAGACTGGAGTGCAGTGGCCGCTCCCGGCCACCGCAGCCTCGACCCGCTGGGCTCCGGCGATCCTTCCGCCGCAGCCTTCCAGGTAGCTGGAATTACAGGCATGCGCGACCACGCCCAGCTGATTTTTTGATTTATTATGGAGATGAGGTCTCGCTGCCCAGGCGGGTCTCGAACCCGCGGGCTCAGGCAATCCACTCACCTCAGCCTCCCAAAGGCGCGGGATTACAGGCTGAGCCACCGAGCCCGGCCCCAGCCTCCCTTTCTAAGAGCCCAGAGGTCTCCAGAGTCCATGGTGCGCTAAGACCTATTTCCACCTGCCTTTCTGGAGCCAGGCCAAATAAACGGATTCCTCTGCCTCCGCGCTTCCTCTCTCTTCCCTCTTCCCCACCAGTCAGAGAACAGGGGAAGATGGACGCTCGAGCTCTGCCAGACAGAGCCTGGAGCACAACAGGGCTCAGGGCAGGCAGCCCATGAGGACACCACCAACTTTGGAGAACCAAGGAGCATAAGCCTGGATCTCAAGCCACTGGATACAAGGGGTTGAAATCCGAGATGGTTGAGAGGGCCCAAAAAAGTGTAAAATAGTGTTTCTGGGAAGCTTTCATTGCTGTTTCCAGAGCAAAAGTTCCTGTGGTAAAATAAGCTCGCAAAATGCTGCATAATAAATACTCCTCCTAATGAGTCAAATTTACATAGTATAGATTCAGATAAATACCTTGGTAATATTGAAAACTGTATTAACAGAAAAGCCAAACTCTGTAAAACATTTTAAAGAGATTTATTCTAAACCAATATGAGTGACAACAGCCCTGGGAGAAAAAAACACAAACCCAAGAAGCCTTGAGTAGGTGGTCCTGAGGCGGTCAGGTCACAACTGTTCTATACATTTTAGGGAAGTAGAAGTTACAGGCAAAGTCATATAACAATACATGAAGACTATACGTTGGCTTGACCCCAAAACACAGGATACCTTGAAGCAGAGCCTTTTACAGACTACAGGTGAGTTCAGAGATTCTTTAATTTGTAATTGGTTTAATAAGTAAAGCTTTATCTAAAAATGTGGAGTCAGCAGAAAGGAATGTTTAACATGAGGAAGTCTGTTAACCCATACACTGGGTCAGAGTGACCTGTAGGGATGTGACTTAAGCCTTGTCTGGCACAACCTTAGCTCCTGTTTACAATTTGGTACTTCATTGTCACCGCGTCCGTTTTGTTAGTCATGGTCTCTTTTTTTTTTTTTAACATTAATGCTGGTCAGTTGTGTCTAAATCCCAAAAGGGAGGGGGCATATCTAACCTTCAACCTATAGTGGCAAGGAACTCAGTTTCTCAGGTTTCTCTGGAATCCCTTTGGCCCAGAGAGAATCTGTCAGTCTTCTGTCAGTCTTAGGATTTTATCTTTAGTTTGCAACTGGCAGCTTATTCTCAATCCTGTTTGTACATCAAAAAGTATGGTAAGTTTGTAGGCTTGTTGAGTTTTTTTGTTTTGTTTTGCTTTTTAGAAAATACAACTAGGTCCCATCCCATACCTAATGAGACCAGAGGGGACAATATCAAGACTCAAAAACCCAAAGAATAAAGTAAGATGAGTAAGGAAAAAAAAAGTGTTCTCAGTGGGAGATGCAGGTACTTTGCAAGGGAGTATAAAGGGGACTCAGGAAGGCTTCAGAGGAAAAGATTTGGGACTGTTTCCACCAAAGATGCGAAGGGAAGTTGAGGAATAAAAAGAGTTTATTACGTGGTTTAAAGAAACCACCTGAAGCCAGAGAGCAAGAATTTACAGCAGAATCAATCAGTCGTTCAACAGCCCAGAAGGAAGAGTGGAGGAAAGGTACTGATGATTCCAAAGGACTAGAAGTTAGTAAGACAGGTGCTGGAGAAGTCCTGATGGGCACGTATTATTCATTTCCTAGAGCTGTCATAACAAAGTGGGTGACTTAAAACATTAAAATGTATTGTCCACCCTCAGTGTTGAAGGCCAGAAACCAGAAATCAAGCTGTTGGTGGAGCCATGCTCCCTTCCAAGTTTCTAGGAAGGGATTCTCCCTGGCCTTTACCAGCTTCTGGTAACCCCAGATGCTTCTTAGTTTGTAGCCTCATCACTCCAATCTCTGCCTCTGTCTCCCACAGCCACCTTCCCTCTGTTTTCATCTGCCATTTTCCTGTGTGTGTGTGTGTGTGTGTGTGTGTGTGTGTGTGTGTGTGTGTGTGTGTACATGTATAGATTCTTCCTTCTTCTTATAAGGCTACCATTCATATTGGAATAGGACCCACTCAAATGATCTCTTCTTAACTTGATTACATCTGCAAAGATCCTATTTCTAAATACAGTCACATTCACAGGTAGGACTTCAATATGCCTTTTGGGAAACACAACTCAACCCATAACATCAAGTATCATGGGAAGCTGAGAACTCAAGAGAACTTACTGAATGCTGGAGCTGCTCAGGCTCAGGAAAGCAGGAGAATCAGTGCTTGTAGGAAATAAGAGAAAAAAATTCTATGCTTTTGTCAAATTTCACAAAACTGAGATACTGTAAGATGTTTCACAGAGATACTGTAGAATGTTCACACTTTAGTATCAGGGTATGTCAGGCTACAAGTAACCAAATGCAATTAAAATTGTTTTATACAGCCAGGATGGGCTGAGACATAGGAGGTGTTAGGGAAGGTACTGGAAGTTTTATAAGAATCTTCATTAAGTGACTGTCAGAAAGTCTTTATTGAAAGTCTAGAAGAAAATACATTGAAATGTTAGTAGTGGTGTTAGTAGTAAAGTTATGGATAACTTTAATTTATACTTTTTGTATATCCCAAGTTTTCTACAATAAGTACACATGACTTTTACAGCCAAAGAGAAACAATCACTATTTTAAAAATGTCTATCCAGTAACTATCAGTCCTCTGAATACATACAATCTACAGCAGAAGGGAACATACACAGGATTAAAACATATATTAATAACAAAATAGCCTGAAACAAAGATGAGGCGAAGCTCACTCAGCATTTCATAAATGCCTTCAAATAAAGATAGAGTAGAAAAGAATGTGTGCTTTCACCTTAGACAAATCTGGATTTTAATCTCAACACTCCCATTTGCCAGCGACACAATACTAAGCTAAAGAGTTCAGTTTTTTCCTTTTAATAAGATTTTAATTTCCATTTCACCGAGCTGTGGAAAGTCATGTGCAATAGCATTATACGAACAGGTTATGTAAATATTTAACTGTTTCTCAATATCCTCATGACATTAATAACCCTGTACAAGTGATATATGAACTTGACACACATACAGCGCAGTAAACAGTTGAGGGCAGAGACATGGTCTGGAAGAAGGGAAGAGCAGTGTGGGCAGAGTGAGGGGAAATTTCCTTAATTTCCTGAGCCAGGAAAGCAGGAGAATCAGTGCTTGTAGGAAATAAGAGAAAAAAATTCTATGCTTTTGTCAAATTTCACAAAACTGAGATACTGTAAGATGTTTCACAGAGATACTGTAGAATGTTCACACTTTAGTATCAGGGTATGTCAGGCTACAAGTAACCAAATGCAATTAAAATTGTTTTATACAATAAGGGAGTAATTACCTCATATAACAAGTTTAGGATTAGGAAATTTCAAAAGTTTAATGATGGCATCAAAGACTGTTTCTTCTACCTTTCCACTGTTCATGTGTTCTCCTTGGTTCCAGCACAGCTGCTAACATCAAAAGTGGGGCTGTCTTTCCAAAAATCTTATTTAAAAGCTACAAAAATACTCCCCAGAAACACCTTTGAAAATTTCCTGTCCCGTTTCCATTGGTCAAAATTGCCCCCATGGAACTGCCTCTTCTGAAGCACATGAAAGGTGAACAACAAACAGTTCAATTAGGGAGACCCAGGACAGAGACACATGAAGTGAAAGAGGACCAGGGGATATATAGTCCCGAGCTGGCATACAGGGACGGGATTTTGAGCAGGAGAATAATAGCCTCATTTCTTATCAGTCACTGGTAAGATGACTAAAGCTGCTAATGGACTCAACCAAAAGAATGGCCGGACGCGTGAGACAAAAGAAAAAGAAAAAGTATGTAAGTGTACTCCATCCACAGCACTGTAGAAGGAGACACTACATGCCCCATGATCTAGGTAAACTCCCACCCGCTGAAGAGCTGGCTCTTGCTTGGTAGGAATTCCAGAGAGGCTTGTTAGGGGCCGATAGCCACCTGAACTGCAATAAATAGCCCAGATTCCCACATTGGGGGACATTCTTGACCTATCAGTAATCCCCATGACATCCTCCCGACACACCCCCATGGCAATCTCCAGGCCATCTCTAGTCTCAACCTCCCAGTAATGTTTCCCTGAAGTGAAAACGTTTTTTCCCAGAACGCAGGGTAAGTATTGGAATCTCTCTGCAAACTGTGTGTTTGTCTGAGAATTTCTCCATCCAGCAAAGTAGTTCCATGCTGTAGAAAATACTGGCCAAGTACTGGCTGATGCTGTGTTTTTCACACATCTTCCTTCCTGAGAGAAGACAAGTTTGGGATGAGCTGTGTCTTCAGCTAGGCTTACAGCCACTGCAGAGAAAATAAAGAGCTGAGATAAACAATGCAACAGCTTTTCACCAGCCCTCTTCCAGAAACGTCCCTTTCCCAGCTTCAGTTTCATCTTGCTCCTCCCAATAAGTAATTAGAGATGAGACTCCTCACTGCCTCCCAGGTGATTTTCGACAGGGCCTGGCAGGCCACAGTGTGGCCTTTAGCAACCTGAAAGTATCATTTCTCTTCTTTAAGAGGCAAAGCCCTAGATAATGGGGAGCTCATTATTTCATGGCCCAGCATAAAATTTGGAGAGATGCTAACAAATTCTGACTTACTGAATCAAAACCGTAACCAGCCAGGCACAGTGGCCCATGCCTGTAATCCCAGCACTCTGGGAGGCCGAGACAGGCAGACTGCTCGCACCCAGGAGTTCAAGACCAGACTGAGCCACAGAGCGAAAACTTTCTCTACAAAAAAAAATAAAAAATTTAAATTAAACATTTTTTTTAAAAAGTCAGGCATGGTGATGCTGAGGTGGATAGATCTCCTGAGCCCAGGAGGTCAAGACTGCCATGAGGCATGATTATTGTGATCATGTACTGCACTCCAGCCTGGATGACAGAGCGAGACCCCAACTTAAAAAAACAAAACAAAACTGATGCTCTTTTCATTTTTTAAATTCTTTTTTTCTCTGTGTGTTTAACTTTGCAGTTTCCACTGCTCTGTCTTTAAGTTTACTCGTTGCTTCTTTTGTAATGTCTAATCAACTATTAATCCTAACCAGTGCATTCTTTACCTTAGTCACCATAATTTTCATCTCTAAAAATCTGATCTGGATCTTTTTTTGTACCTTTCATGTCTCTTTACAGAATACAGTTATATAATGTTTTAGTGTCCTTTTATGCTTATTTTAACATCTAAGTCAATTCTAGGTGAGTTTCAATTGATTATTCTGATCATCACGGGTCACTGTTTTCCTATCTTTTTGCAAGCTTGATAACACAATACTTGGTGAGATGCCAGACATTGTGAATTTACATTGTTGGGTGCTTTTTTTTATTCTTATCAATTTTCTTGAGATTTGTCCCGGGGTGCAGTTAAGTTACCTGGAAACAGCCTGATCCTTTTGGGTCTTGCTTTCATGATTTATAAGGTAGGTGTGAAGCTGTACTCAGTCAAGGGCTAAATATTCTCTTCTAATGATGCAAGGTTATCCTGAGTAAGCTACTCACTGCCCCATGTCTGGCAGATAGGAACAAGCACTGTTCTTGCTAATCACTTTAGAAGCTTCTTTCTTTAGCCTAGAGTAGTTTTTTATAGGCCATGCAGATCAGAACTCTGCTGAATTCTCAGGAAGTTCCTCTGTAAATGGTCAGGATTCACCCTCTGTAAGGCTTGCCCCTCTCCAATACACAGTTCAGTACTCTGTGAACTCTCACTGCTTTGTCTCTGGGGACTCTCAGCTCCATTCCTCAACTCAGTGAGGAATGGCTCTACCTCAGTTACTCCACCCTGAAATGGCCTGGAAATTCCCTCAAGGCTGTAGGCCAGGGCATGGAGCTCACTTCGTTGGTCTCACATTTCTTAGGAATCCCTGTCCTTCATTGATGCTCAGTGCTTTGAAAACTATTATTTTGTGTATTGGGAATGTTTTGGTTTTGGTTTTTGTTTTTAGCTGTTGCAGACAAGAGAGTAAATCAAGTCCCTATGACTCTAGTTTGGCTGGACGCGGACATCCACCACGTGGTTCTTCATCAGGGCTGAGCACAGGAGAACAGCCTGCATAGCTTTCAAAACACACATGGGCCTTGGTGACTCCCTGGAGATCCAGTGAGCTCATTTTCAGTCTTTCCTACACTCCTCTTCTCAACTTCAACCCCATCTTTCCCCAAAACACACCTTATGGTTTAGCTACACTGGATACCCTCCCCTCCGTTTTTTCCACACCTTCGCTCATGCTGCTGCCTCTGCTTGGAAGAGTATAACCCCATTTTCCACTTGACAAACTCCTTCTAAGCCTTCAAATCTCAGAACTGTCACCTCTGCTGTGAGAACCTTCCCACCTCAGCCTCAACAGAGCTCTTCCTTTGTACTACTGTCACATTTTATTCCTACCACTGACAAACATTACCTCCTACTGTATTATGGTAAGGGATATGTGTTTGCCTCTCCAATTTGCTTATGAACTCTTAGAAAGAAGAGAACAGGTCTCTTTCTTTTTGTATCACTGATACCTTGTAATACATAGTGTGTGTTAAGAAAATGCTTCTTGGATGAAGCACATTCCCATTATTACCATTTTTCCTGACATTCCTATTAGCTGCATGCTCTGTTTCCTCTTTCCTTTCCAGACTTCTCTGCTTATTCTCTTCCTTGGAAGATTTCTAGGGAGCCGCAAGTCCTAGAAATTTTGCTCACCTTGGAATCGCTTCAACATTTCTTTCATCATTGGAATCTGGCATGGTGTCTTCACCCTTAGAACTTCAGGGGAATAGTTCACATCCTGGGTATCACTCCTAAGAAAGTACAGAAAGGTCACTCTTCTTAGGAGACAACTAGGGCAGCCAACACTCCCAAGTTCTAATCACAGGTTCCCAGTCCAAAGCTCAGATCACTTTTGCTCCCATTCCTCCTCGTAAAAGTCAACAGTAGAATTTTTCTTCCCCAGACGCCCTCAGCACGTGCTGGACTGATCTATGGAGCCGAGGCGTTGTTTCCCCTCTGCTCAATCTGTAACTTTATGACTCCATTCTGGTCCCCACAAGAAAGCAGGCGCCCATACCTGGTCAACACATCTTTTGGATTCTGTGAAAAGAAGAAAAAAATAAGTTAAGAACCTTCTCCTCGAGAGCTGGTACATAACTTTGTAAGCAGGAATTTTCTGTCAGTTGCTTCTGCTAATGTCACATACAATTTCCTGCTGCCAAAGCCAATGCTTTGACACTGTCTAGGCCTCTCTTTTCACGTGACCCCTCTGCACCGTCTGACAGTGCCGACCAATCCCCTTCTCGAGCCCGTGCTCTTTCTTCCTTGGCACTATCTCGTCGTCCTTCTCCCTCAGTCACAGAGCCAACTTCTCTGCCTGCCCTTTGGCAGCATTCCAGCAACTCTCGCTTTGACCTTCTGCTCTTCTCCTTCCACTAGTTTTACAAGCCTACTTTCAATTTATAATCACAAGGGATACTTTTATAGTGACAGGGTCCAGAGAGTTTTTTACGCAGGTGAATTTTACTACACTTTAGGGAACTGAAAAATCCCTATCCTAAGTTGTGACAGCAAAAGGAAAAGCAGAAATTTTTCCCAAATGATTTTAAGAGACTAATATAACCTTGTTCCTTAAGGTATTAAAAGAAATATATATATGTAAAAATTATAGACCCATTCACTTAAAAACATGGAAGCAAAAATTCTAAGTAAATTATTAGCTAACCAATGCCAACAGTGTATTTAAAAAATACAGTTCCTCCCAAAAACCTTTAACCAAGTCTAATCATGAGAAAAACATTAGCCAAATTCCGAGAAACATTAGCATCCTACATAATACCTGACCAGCACTCAAAACTGTCAAACTCAACAAAAACAAGAAAATCCTGAGAAACTGCCACAGTCTAGAAAGACATGACAACTAAATGTAATGTGGTGTCCTAGATGGGATTTTGGAAAAGAAAAAGAACATTAGGTAAAAACTAATGAAATATAAATAAACCATGAACTTTTTTGGGGGGGTGCCCCAGTGATAGACCTTTATCTAAACCATGAACTTTAATTAATAAAGTATTACTGGTTCATTACTTCTTACAAATGAACTACACTAACGTAAAAAGTTATTAGGGGAAGCTGGGTGAGGGGGCATGTGGGAATCTTCTCAATATTTTTGTAAATCTAAATCATTTTTTTAAAAAAACTGGTTAATTAACATACAGAAAGTGCTCAATCTCACCAGTAATCAAGAAATGTCACCCACCTTCAGGAGAAGAAAAGGGGTGCTGATTAAGCAAGGGCATGAGATGACATTTATGTACCTGTTAGGATGGCTAAAATTAAAGATCTGACAATTCTAAGAAAAGGTGAGGATACGGAGCAAATGGAACTCTAACACATGGCTATGATAGTGTAAACTGGTACAACCACTTTGGAAAATGGTTTGGAATCATCTACAAAAGCTGAACACACGTGCCCTGTGTCCACGAATTGCTCACAGGTAGAAATGTGTATAAATGTGCACTAAAAAAAATGTGTTCAGGCATAGTTATAACAGTTTTTATAACACTAAAAACTGTAAATAACTCATATTTCCCTCAAAAGTAAAAGGAGGCCGGGTACAGTGGCTCAAGCCTATAATTCCAGCACTTTGGGAGGCAGAGGTGAGAGGATTACCTGAGCTCAGGGGTTCAAGACCAGCCTGAGCAACATGGCGAGACCTCATCTCTACAATAAATCAAAAAATTAGCCGGGCATGGTGGCACATGCCTGTGGTTCCAGCTACCTGGAAGGCTGAGGCAGAAAGACTGCCTGTGCCCAGTAGGTTGAGGATATGGTGGCTGTGAGCAGTGTGCCACTGCACTCCAGCCTGGGTGACAGACTGAGACTCCCACTCAAAAGAAAAAAAGTAAAACAAATAATAGGATTTGGTATAGTAATACAATGGAATACAGTACTACAACAGGGTTTCTCAACCTCAGCACTATGACATTTTAAGCTAGGTAAGTCTTTGCTGGGAACTGGGGGTAGGCATATTCTGTGCATTACAGCATGTTTAGAGCACCCTGTACACACTATATGCCATCAGTAACCACCCCTAAGTTGTGACAGCCACAGTATCTCTACATTGCCCTCTGGGGCAATCAACATGGTGGAAAACTACTGATGTATAGTGATGAAAACAGTTATCTACCACTACCTACGATAAGGATTCATCTCACAAGCAAAACACTGAGCAAAAGAAGACAAACATAAACGTGTGCATACTGAAAGATTCTTATTCAGATACAGGCAAGACAAAACAATACTGTAGGAAGTCTGGAGGGAGGCTACCTTTGAGAAGAAGGGAAGGGGTATTGACTGGGGACATCTGGAGACTTCTAGGATTGTACTCATGTTCCATTTCTTGACTTGGGTGGTGATTACATCAGTGGCTCACTTGGTAATCTATCAAGCTTGTAATTAACACATTATTCTCTATGTAAGTTATACTTAAAAGACTTTTAATATTTATTATGACAATAAAAATAATACTTGTCCAAATCTATGGAACACAAGTTAGAATAATACTTAAAGGTAAAAGTATAACTTAAGTATATATACCAGCAAACAAAATGGTAAATATAAATAAGCTAAGTATTCCAACTCAGGAAGTTGAGTAAAGATACCAGACACAGCAACTCACATCTATAATCCCAGCTACTCAAAAGGATCACCTGAGGCTAGGACTTACGAGTCCAGCCTGGGAAACATTGTGAGACACCATCTCAGATAAATCAATAAAAAGAAGTTGAAGAAAGAGTACAGAGGAAACCCAAAAACCAATTTAAAATGATAATAAAAAAGAGCACATATTAATGATTTCTCTGCAGTATTACTTATAATTGTGATAGTACTAGAGGCAATCTGGGTATCCATCACTGGAAGAGAGGACTGGTAATGTGTGGAGGATATACACATGGACTAAATATATATGGCAAAAGGGATGAATCTTAAAAGCAGAGTGCCCATGGCAAAAGCAAGAAACAGAATGCAACAAGAACTCAATAACTGCATAAATCAAAAACAGATAAACATAAGCAACACTACATATTTTACAAAAGCACTGTGCTAATAAAAAGAAAAAAATCAAGCACAATAAAATGTTTTCTATTTTTTATGTTTCTAAGAAGAACAGAAGTGGATTATGGGGTGAAAGTGAAGGAATAAATGAAAAAGTAGATGAATGGGTGGACATATCAGTAAAATAAGTTCTCTCTGGTTCTCATATTCTATTATCATTTCTTTAATAATTTCCATAACCTTGCATTTATGTTTGTTGATATTTTTTAAGCATTCTGCTTGTACATATGTATCTTATAGGTTTCAGTTTCTAATTAGATGTTAAAACTGTATTTTAAAAATTGTGTTTCAATGTGTTATTTCAAAGATTCTGTTATGGTACATATTTTGTATATGTACTTTGAACTTCACTGCTCAAGCATGTTGCAAAGGTTGTAGACAATTCTTGGAAATCATTACATTTAGATATCATATAACACCCAACTAGCAATTTCTTACTGATAACTGGTGGGTGGGTGAATCCATGATTCTCTCTTCCTTAAGAATAGAAAAGAGGCCGGGCTCAGGTGCTCAACTGTAATCCCAGCATTTTAGGAGGCTGAGGCAAGTGACTGTCAGAGCCCACAGGTTCAAGACCCCCCAGGCAACTTGGCAAGACCACGTCTCTAAAATAAATTTAAAAATTATCTGGATGTGGTAGCGCGCACCTTGGAAGGCTGAGGCAGAAGGATCGCCAGAACCTAGCAGGTTGACACTAGGGTGGCCATGAGCGTGCCACTGTATTCTAGCCTGGGCAACGTTGTGAGACTCCAACTCGAAGAAAAGAAAAGAAAAGAAAAGAAAAGAATGCTGTCTCCTCATGAGAAAAAACAGTAATGGTAGATTAAAGGTACTCATGAGAACACCTTTCAAAGATTCTTTCATCTTCAGTCACATTATGTGGAGGAAAGAGAGGTTTTAAGGGATCTGAGACCCAAGGTGAATTATTTCATACAAAATACACACACACAAAGAAAAGACAATAACAAACACAGGACCCTCTCCTGAAAGGAGTTATAAGGGCACTTTACTATGGGGAATGTAAAGGTAAAGATTAACTTAAAAAAAGACTTTGATAAGAAACTGGCCCTAAAGATGCAAATTTAAGTGCTGAGCTAGAATTATAATCCTTTAAAGGGTGCTAGAGCTAGATACTAGAAATTACTTCAACGTACTGATCAAAGTCTGGGGATATGGACAGTTTTATCAGGCGATAATTGTGATAACTAAAAATTAACAAGAAAGGTAAATTTCTCTTAACTGTTGATACAATTATGTATTTCTGGCTTTAATGCTTGCTTTGTTTTAATGTTTAACAAAGAATTATAAATGTACAAATAAGATGAATGCAAAGGTTTTGGATGTGCTTCAGATTCTAGATAAACTGTTGGACCAGAGCTGGGGGGAGGGATGTTCTGTGCATGGCAGCATGGTTAGAACACCTGGTACACACTTTTCAACTGACAGCCCTTAACTGCCAACAAAGAGAGGATACTCTTCTAGTGAATCCACTAATCAGGAAGACCATTCAGCCTCAACTAACAACCCCAAAAAAGGGAGCTTATCTCTTGCATCTCACCTGAAGCAATTCCAGCGTGGAGGCCTGGCTCTTCTCCTCCACCTCTAAGATGAGCTTCTTCAAGGAAGTGATTGTCTGATTGAGCCTTAGCATGTTCTCACTCAGTTTCTGCTTTGTCTCTTCTTCTTCTTTGCTCAGTCTCTGAAGAAACAGTTGCTCTTCTTCAGTCAGGAAGTGGTGCAGCTTTGAGAACTCCATGCTGATTCTCATTCGCTGATTCTTCATCTTCTCCTATGGCCAAACCAGAATTGCTCATTCCTTGTTCTGCAGGGCCCTTCCTCCTAAACTCCTTGCACATGATTCCCCAACAATCCATGGTCTTTTCCATCCTAATCAACTCCCATGGAAAAGCTCCTGCCTACCCCATTAGAAATTTCTATTACTCTTTTACTTATACCTAGTTGGTACCTTTGTACTAATCATTTTAGTATTCATTTACTCTTCCTAACATTTGAGTCTCCACTACTGACAGAAATGCCTTGTTTGTATACTTCTTAAACTAGAAAACACTTTCACACCTACTATTTAGTTGAGCCCTCAGAGTACCTGTTTAGTTTGCTAGTTCATTAGGAGAAAGAGTGTGTGTGTGTGGGGGGGGAGAGAGAGAGAGAGAGAGAGACCCTGAATGAGAACGAAAGAGAGCGAATGAATGGGAACAACAAACATCGATGTGGACATGGAGAATTTGGAAAGTAAATTTATAAAAAAATAAGGAGGATGAGGTACTACCTTAAAGTAGAGATATGAGAATGAAGTATGTGGAGCTCACATCATCCAAAATCACAAGTCAGTAGGGACAGATACTTCCTCTTCTACCACTTCATCTGCAAAGGACCCAGTAACGGATGACACCCTGAAAGCTCTTTGCTGTAAAACCCCAGAAGCAGCCCCAGAATGAAAAGACCTCAGGGGCAAGAAATGTCCAAATGTTTCTGCTATTACCTTCCACTTTGTAGCGTTCTTCACTTCCACGTCCTGTAAATGCATAGCTTTCTTCATCATGGCTATGAGACTACATCGAGACTTAAGAAGTTTCTCCTGCCAGCAGAAACACACATAGGTAAGAAATCACTTCTCGAAGTACGTTCGTTTTATAAGAGCTAAAAGTCACCTAAGTCAAACAGGGAATAAGGCTGAGAAAATGCTGAAGACGGTCACGGGCCTATAGTAGGAACAATTCTGGTTAGAATTCATCACAACGCTATGTTGAGTCTGCCTAGTAAACCGGCAAAAACTAAAAGTTGCTAAAGGACTCACAAATATCTAGTATTGACAGGAAGAAGTCCTCTGGCACAACAGTAGTAGGAGAAAAAAAGGGACCATCTTTTGAAGAACAACTGGCAGGATTTTACAAAATGTGCATAATCATACTTCTAATTATCTATCCAACAAATCGCTAACAAAAATAATCAATATGTAAAGAACATTCACTGTAGCATTATTCATCATCCACAATGAGGGGTTATTAAATAAATTATGGCATATTGACATCCTATATCAATTTCAGGTAGCTTTATACATTGATATAAAATACATATCATATTATGCTAAAAAAAGCTGTAAAACAATATATATTACATAATTCTGTTTTGAAAAGAGTAAATATGTGTCTGTGCACATGCATGTTTATGTGTATATTTGTATGTAAACAGAAATGTAGAAGGAAATATACCCAAGTATTAACAATCACTATTTCTGGGGAAAAAGAGTAGCCTGAAAGTTGAGTCGGGGGGGTACTAGAAATTTTATATATTTGTTTTGCTTTAATTTCTACAAGAGGCATATAGCATTTCTGCAATTAAAAAACCTGAATAAGTTATTAAAAAATAAAGCAAGGCTGAGCACAGTGGCTCACAACTGTAATCCCAGTACTTTGTGAGGCCAAGGCAAGAGGATCACTTGAGCCCAGGAGTTTAACACCAGCCTAGTCAACATAGTGAGACGTCATCACCACCAAAAAAAATTTTTTTTGCTTAGCGTGGTGGTGTATGCCTGTAGTCCCAGCTATTTGGGAGGCTAAGGCAGAAGGATCACCAAAGCCCAGGTCAAAGCTGCAGTGAGCTGTGATCATGCCACTGCACTCCAGTCTGGGTGACAGAGTCGGACCCCAAATCAATCAATCAAAAAAAAAAAAAAAAAATATATATATATATATATGTAATATATAAATTAAGCAAGGCTATCACACTGACAAAGCAGGCTACTAACAGGCAGCACCTGATAGCAAAATGCCAGACACAGTTGCAGAGACAAATGCAGGCAGGTTAGAGAAACATACCAGAGAAAAACCAAAGGGAACTGATGACCAAATGGCTGTAGGGGGAAGAGATCTAGATTGAGCTCCTAGGTTCCGGTTTGAGTAACTAAACGGACTGCAGGTGACTTACCAAATCAGAAAACGTAGAACGATGAGCAGTATGCAAATGAAAGTAAATAAATATGACTTGAATAAACTGAGTTTGAGATGTCTGTGGGACATCCAAGTGGGCATGTTAGCAGTTATAGTTAATAAGAGACCCGGGCTGTGCTGGGTACAGTGGCTCACACTTGCAATCCCAATGCTTTGGGAGACAGAGGCTTTAGGATTGCGTGAGGCCAGGAGTGTGAGACCAGACCTGCAACACAGAGAGACCCCATCAGACCCTATCTCTGAGGGAGGGAGAGACGGAGGGAGAGGAGAAAGAGATCTGTGGTGCAGAAGCAGATTTAGGGTTTAAAGTACAGGTAGCAGTTTGAAGCCATGGGTGGGAAGCTACGGGTGATCACCTAAGATTCTACAGAGTAAGAAGAGGATTAAGGGCAACGCCCTCGGGTCCCTTCCCACCGTGGGAGCTTTTCTGTCCTTTCAAATCCTGCTTTCTAAAAAAATAAAAAAATAAAAGGAGAGGATCAAGGCTAGACCTGGGAAGAACTACATTTAAGGGGTTGCAGAGGTTGAAAAGCTTGCATCAAAGCTAAGATGGGCAGCTGGTGAAAAACCAAGAGAATGGCTTCCTATATACCAAAGGAAGAGAAAATTTTAATTGCAAGACTAATGAATAGTGTCAAATGCTGAAGGGTACCCTAGGGCAACTTTCTGTAAATCTGAATGTATGTCAAAATAAAAAGCTAAAAGAAAAAAATAGGCTAGGCATGATGGCTCAAGTCTGTAATCTCAGCACTTTGGGAGGCTGAGGTGAGAGGACTGCCTGAGCTCAGAGGTTCGAGGCCAGCCTGGGTAACTTGGCAAGACCTCATTTCTACAATCAATCAAAAAATTAGCCGGGCGCGGTGATGCATGCCTGTAGTTCCAGCTACTTGGAAGGCTGAGAGAGAAGAATCGCCAGTGCCCAGCAAGTCGAAGCTGTAGTGACCACGAGTGTTTCACTGCATTCCAGCCTGGGTGACAAAGTGATACTCCAACTCAAAAAAAAAAAAAAAAAAAAGAAAAAGAAAGAAAGAAATGAATAAAGAAATACGCTGTGCAATTTTAAAATTCTTCCCTAGGAGAATAATAATAACTAATCTGTATAACTTTCTTCCAATCATTTACAAATGACAATGGTTAAAATAAAGTCAAAAAATTTAAAAGACTGAAAACACCAAAGTCAGCAAGGAGGTGGAGTAACCGGAACACTAATACCATGTTGGTGAGTGTGTGAAATAATATAACCATTTTGGGAAAAGGTCTAGCATAATACTAAGCATATATTAATCCTATGGCACAAGAATTCTACTCCTAGGCCTCGGAAAAATAAAAACACATGTCCACAAAACCTGTGCAAGAACATTCATAGAAGCTTTATTCATAATCACCAAAAGCTGGAAACAGCCCAGGTATCCTTTACCAGGAAGAGGGGCAAACTAACTGTAGTACATTTACATAATGAAATACCACTTAGCTATAAAAAGTAACAAATGACTGACACACAAAATAGATAGATTTCATTATCAATATGCTGAGCAAAAGGATCCTAATTAAGAGTACAAACTGTATGATTCCATTTTTATGGACTTGTGGAAGAGGCAAAATTAATGTGTTGGCATAAAAAAAACCAGAACAGTGCTTGCATTGAATGGGGGTGGGAAGAGAAAAGAACTGGGAAGGGTATGGAGGAACTCCCTGGGGCGGTAATGCTCTATATCTAGAGAGGGGCTTGGGTTACCCAGTTGAATACATTTGTCAAAGCTCAGTTGACGCACACCTAATATTTGCATATTTTATTGTATTAAATTTTGCCTCAAAAAATACCATAAACAAAAGTTAAATGTTAAAGGCATGCATGCTAAAGTATTTTGTTTGCAAGTGAATTTTAAAAGCGTTAAAAGAAAATAAGAATTGATGGATAGAGAGATATAGACAGAGATGGACAGCTAGATGACAAACAAGCAGAGTAAAATGTAAATGGCAGAATCTAGGTGTGGGAATATTGCTGTTATAAAAACCCTTCTAAGTCTGATGTGTGCTTAAAACTTTCATGGTAAAATGAAATAGGCAAAAAAAATTAGGTAATAAAAGGCATTTATACAGTTCTGTTAAATGGCACAATATCACCAATGCTATTTTCTTTCTACTATAATGTTTTCTAACATTATAAAATCTATTTACTATCCCTAGTGGTTAACAAATAGGTATATAGCCCTGCTACTCAGTAAGCTATCTCATGCAATTTTACTTCTGTATTCAAGTATAACTGCCACTTTGTCATCACTGTCAAATTTGATGTATATGAGGCTTGTAATTTGACATACAGCTCCTTTAAATAAGACCAAGCTTTTCACTTTTGCTTGATAATAAAAGATATCTTTTAAACAGAGATTTTCAATTTTTCAAAATACCTTTTAACAATTCCAGTACGCATGAATTATCTCATACGACTGTACTCTCTACTATTCAAGACTCTACCTAAATCTTTTTGAATCCTGCCACAGTTGGGATCTAAACTTGGACCTGAGTTAACTTGGCAACCCTCTGGGAAATTAGAAAACACCTTCCCTGCCATAACAGAAATTGCCACAAAGTGACGGGGGACACCAAACATTTCAAACCTATAAAATGAAGACAACTCAACTAAATGTCTCTTAAATACCTTTCCAGCTCTTAAGTTCTGTGAATTTTGGTTACTGTGGCCTCTGCACACAATACAAAGCAGGTAGGTCTACCTCAAACCTGTCTACTTGCCATTGCCACTGCCACTGCCTAACTCAGGCCGCCACTGTCTCTCATCTAGACAACGCCAACAACCTGACTGGACGCCCTGCTTGCCACGCTGTCCTTCACTCACACAAGATCCACACAGCAGACAGGGTCATCTTTCCAACACCAACCGGATCTCTCCTCCTCACCAAGAAAGCTCAAACACTGTACGGGGCCCAACATACACCGGCCCCGACCCGCATCTCGCACTGCGCCTCACACTCCTTTTCCCTCTGCTCTTGGCACTCCAGGCACAGCCCCTCTCTTAGCTCTTTACATAAACCCAGCTCTCCACTACCTCAGGTCTTCGTATTTACTGTCCACGGCCTGGGATGCTCTTCCCACAGTTCCTCAGCTGGCAGAGTCCTCCTCCATCGAGTCCACTGAGATGCCACCTCCTCAGAGAAGACCGTTGCCTGATGAAAGCCCCTGCCACTTCGCTAGCCCAGCACTTTCTCTCACAGCACATATCACACCCTGTGATCCCTCACTTATTTGTCGGTCAACTGTCTGCCTCTCTCTCCCAGACTCCTGGACTGTGAGCTCCACGGAAAGCCTTCACCTGTCTTAATCCCCACTGGATTTCCAGTGCTCTGACTGTGCTATAGGCCAGTGTCCAACACAAAACCGGTGCTCAATCAATGTCTGTTAACTGAATTAATAGAATGGCGGGATTCGCCTCTAGAATCAGAGGATTAAATATTGGCATAAGGAAAAAAAAGAGCTGTGTGTGGAAGCTTTTTGCATGCAAATAATTTGCATCCTAAGGTTTATGAAGCTATTTCTCATTGGTTTTTTGTTTTTTTTTTATTCTCTCCCCACCACCAAGGGCATAGGATGGGGATATTTTCTACGAATTTAGGGGAACACTCAACTTCTCCAACTGTCCAATTTTTAAGACATAGTTCATTCATCTGAGTATGTGTTGAGAATGGAATCCCTTGGAAACAGGGTAACTCCACCCAAGAGCAACTCAGGGTTTTTCTAACTAACTTGGGATTGGGACAGAGTGAGCAATAGACACGTGGAGCAGTGACTAAGCAGAGGAGGGCAGAGAAGGAGGCAGACACTGAGGCAGCCTGCCAAATGCCCATCTCCTGAACACTTAGCCCACTCCAGTGCAGCCCTGACCCGCTCAACCTCATCCTGCTGGACCATTTTGCTTAATCCCAAATCCTGTCTCCTCCAAGCATTCTTCTCAGATGACGTGTGGCAGAGTGGATAGTGTAATGGGTCAGGAGTTAGAGGACCTCACTTCGAGCTTGGCCACTTCCTTGCCTTGTGACCCTAGGCCAGTAAGTGCACATCTCTGTGCCACAGTTGCCTCATCCGCAAAAGGAAGATAAGAGAATCCACCTAACAGGACTTTTGTGAGGATGGAAGAATCACAAGAGAAACCATGCCAAGAAATGTGGGTGGTGCACAGCAAGTCATCAATTGAAAGCTATTACTAGCCCTTTGCACTCGGAGACATCTTGTGGACCAGCAACTTGACCACACTTTTTTTACAAAACAGTGAAAAACAAATCAACAGTACAGCATTGGAGTCAATTATTTTATTGTAGTGATATTTGGCTTGTAATTGAATTTTAGATATTGAAAAACTCATTTATGACAAAAAAAATCAAAACTCTATGTATTTTTCTAGTGTGTGGTAATTTGTGAAACAGTCACTGACACACATTGCAGGTCCATCAATACATGTTGTGCAAGAGCATTTGTGTGCTGTCTTCCACCCAGTGTTTTCCTAATCGAGCAATGTAGTCTCATTTTCTTCTTCCCACATTAACAGTATGTAATTTATTGTCCAATCTGTTGTTCAAAGACGATGTGGAAGGACACACTCGTGATTCCTGAAAACCTCAAGGATGAGTTAGATTTAAATTCATCTTTGCTGCTGCTTATAACTCTCACTTTTGTATCTTCATTTTGCCATAGTTCTGCAAGCTAAAACTTCTAATTGTAAATTACAAAATCATGAAATAAAACTTATCAAAAGAATATTTTTACAATTTTTTTTTTTACAATTTTTACTCTTCCGACTAAATATACTTGATCTGTGCCACTCGGTACTTCAATACAGATCTGCCTTCAACTTTGAAAGTCTCTTTCTTTTAAGACTACAATAACGCTGAGTACAGTGACTCAAGCCTGCAACCCCAGTACTTTGGGAGGCCGAGGTGAGAGGATTGCCTGAGCCCACGGGTTCAAGACCAGCCTGGGCAACATGGTGAGACCTTGTCTCTACAATAGATCAAAAAATTAGCCAGGTGTGGTAGCACATGCCTGTAGTTCCAGCTACCTGGAAGGCTGAGGTGGAAGGATTCTCCAGAGCCCAGGAGGTCAATGCTGGGGTGGTCATGAGTGTGCCACTGCACTCCAGCCTGGGCAACGGAGTTACACTCCGACTCAAAAAAAAAAAAAAAAAAGTCTGCAGTAACTTGCTTAACTATCTTGTCAAGTTATGCCATAAGACATGAAGGGTACACCCACTACTGTCCTTCTTATACAACTGCTCTTTATCACTACCTTCTGTTACAAAGAAGTATCAGCGCCACTGTGAAAGGACTTCACACATTCTTTCTACATGATGCCAGCTGATATGCTTTTACAAATATCTCAGTATATATTCCATCTTTTAATTTGCTTTCTTGTGCAATTTGAATGGAAAACTTCAAGGACTTGTACATTTTTTGAAAAATTTGTGTTTGCATAAGTTTGTCCTGCATAATCACCAGCAAACTCTTTATGTTGCCTGAGAGGGAACATCCGAGTGGTTTGCTAGATTTATTATGTCCCCTCAGAGGGATTATCTGAATGCAAAGGACTGATATTACCATTATTATTGTTAAAGATTGAAGACTTAGAGGCTATGTTCTCCTTTCATACTCATCCACTTGTATTTTCCTCAGCCCTCACCCACAAACTTACTTTCTCTTCTATTTCTCTGAAAGGTTCTCTCCGTCTCTTTTGCTAGCTACTAACTACAGGCGTTTCTCTTCGCACTTGCCTTTTCTAAATCTCTGTGGTCCCTCTGGGAGACTCTCACCTGTTTCCTCCTCCAGCTCCTAACAATCGACCACATTTCTTCATCACCCCAGTCTTGCACTAATTCAGGCCTTTATTACCTCCTGCTTAAAATGGAATAACAGCAGCCTATGTGGTCTTCTCCTCCATTTATCAACAAGGATGCCAAAGAGTACTTTCTAAAACAAGAAATGGGTTGTATCATTTTCTGCCTTAAAACCCTTTGATGCGTGGGTTCGAGACCAGCCGGGGCAACTTGGTGAGACCTCCTCTCCTCTCCACAATAAATAAAAAAATAAAAAAGCCGGGTGTGGAAGTGCACACCTGTAGTTCGGGCTACTCGGAAGGCTGAGGCAGAAGGATCCCCAGAGCCAGCAGGTTGACGCTGGGGTGTCCGTGAGTGTGCCACTGCACACCAGCGTGGGCAACAGAGTGAGACTCCAACTCAAAAAAAAAAAAAGAATAAAGAAAAACCCTTTGATGACTCATTACCTGAAAGAGAAAGCTCAACCTTTTTGGAATGATAAACAAGATCCCTCATGACAAGGCTTCTGCCCTTCTCTTCAAGCTCAACTCCCACCAGCCTCCCTGCCGAGTTCCATGTTCCAGAAACACCGAGCATCTTCCAAGCCCTCTCACACACCACATGCCATTCCACACCGCATTTTGAAAGCACTGTCCCTTTGGCCTGAAATACCCTCTCCCCTACCTGTACTCACCCTTTAAGAGCTCACTTCCGTTTAGAACCTCCGTGAAGCCTTTTCTCACTCCTCAATCTGATCACTCCAACCTCAGACCGTCTATATAACTGGTAAATACTTCAACAACTCTCCTACGCACATTGAAATTAGTGGTCTACACGCTCATATTTCTTACGAGTCAAAGCACCTGTCTTTCTCATTCATTTATATCCAGATTTCTAGAACAACGTTTGGCACATAGTAAGCATCAGTACAGG